CTTACAAGTTATGTTGAATTAAAAAAAGGTACTTTTTTGGGACACCCGGCATAATATCACAGGTATGGAGACCATTGAGAAAAGGTGCAGCGCTATTTCACCATAAGCTAGTTATATGCGGCCCAGGTGAAGCAAATGGTTACGGTGCGATTGTTTTGTATTTTTAATGAAGTCAAGTCTGATTTCACAGATCACAAATTAAAATTTGAGGAAAATGGTAATTCAGATTCATTAGAATGTTTCAACATTTTCCACTTATTTCATAGCTGAAATTGTACTCCAAATCTCCATTATAACGCAAAAGATATTAAATAACTCTACTTCTCTTAAGCTGCGTTTACACGGTACCATCCGCTCGTCACAACATCTTCGTTTCCATGCAGCGTACACCTAAGATCCTATAAGACACAGTCACTGTCGGTCACAGCACGGCTACCATCCCCAGTCTGATTTATTTATGTCAATTTCTTTCTTATATTACATACCGTCAATTACGTATCACAATCGCTTAATCATCATGTTCCTCTAGCAAATTGTAGTTACAAGATTATGTATTGCGATATGCATTATTTACGCAATCATTTTGATCGCGCGCCACACTTTCTTCTCACATTAGTTTTGGTCCCGAAAACGTTAAAAGTTGATACAGAAACTACGATCAAAATCTCCCGATTCCTGACCAAGACAAACAAACCAGGACAAGCAAACTTTCCCTGCTCAGTAGGCATAAAGTAAGGTTTTAGATTGTCGTGATGGACCATGAACTCTCGACCTGTTTCTGATCTAATCTTATAATTTACGCCTAGTCTTCCTAAAATAGTGTGAGGTCCAAGCTGTTTGGGACAGAATTTCCACTCCTTTGGCCGCCTAAGCCATACATGCTCAAGCCATACAAAATCTAGTTTCCTGCTGACCCAGCAAGTCCGACGAAGCGAGGAGTCCTCGGAAGGATCGCGAAAGTTTATGATCCTCTCGGGTTGATTTCGCCCATTATTCTGCAAGGAAAGTTCCTCTACCACGAGTGTTGTGACGCTAAGGTCCCCTGGGATGCCAAACTGCCTCGTGAGTTAGAAGCTAGATGGACGGCGTGAGAGAAAAGCCTACAGAGAACGTGACCGCACCAATTAAGGAGTCTAGCTAAGTTCCAGTAGCCAATTGAAGATACATGTCATTAGACCCTTACAAAAATAAACTATAGTTTTTAAAGGCGAAACTATAGTTTTAATAACTGTAGTATTTTGGAATAAAACTATAGTGTCTGAAACTATAGTTGTTTTAGTGAAAACTATAGGTTAAAAACTATAGGTTTGTTCGAAACTATAGTTTTTACATGGAAGCAAAAGGTATTCTTTAAAAAAAATAATTTTGACGTTTACCCAAATAATAACTGCTGCACAAAGCAGCTTTAATTTCACGAAGCTAACACAGTTCTAGTCATGCTGCCAATAATCAAACGATGTTTTAACGAAAAAGGGGATTACGTTTTATTTTACTTCGGTCTTTAGTACCAGGGGATTTTATTATTAGTATATAATAAATGCAGAATATAAAAAAAGAACTACTGTTTTGAAATTTAGGCATTTACTATTAATTTAAAGGGCTAAAAACTTTCTTACAATGATACCGTTTCTTAGTATATGTTCAAAAAATTCCTGTGCCATAATACTGTTATTCTTGTTGCTTTTTGAACGCCTGTTCCTCATTGTTCAGTTTAAACTTGATAGCTTTGACAATGTCCTCGTCAATAACAGGCCGCTGAAGTTCGGTGTATCTTACACTCTTGGCGTATTCTACACAAAACATAAAGAAAGGCTAAATTACTAAATCAGTAAATATGCCAACACTGCGTTTTTCCTTCAAATGCTGATTAGGTAAACAGAAATAGTCCGTCTTTGCAATACAAAGATTACGTATACACTCAAAACCAAAAACTTACTTATTAGGGAAGCTGTGTAGTTTGGATCAAGCTTTGGCTTTGTTTGCCCATTCTTCCCTTTCTGCCCTTTGTAACTGTGTGTCGCCATGTACTCTCTTGTGAGTGTTGCTCCCATCAGGTTTGCGATAAATGATCCTACTTTCTTCGTCTTTATTCGTTGAAGCACATTCTTTGAAATCGACAAGCCTGGTCCGAGAACAACCTGTTAGAAAATAAATCAATACAATAAATTAGTAAAAAAGGTGAAAAAAACAATGTAAAGTCATCCAATGAACAAAATGTTTTAAACCACGGTACTAATAATTCCATTTTCAAGACACACTCTACCTAAACCACTTTGCGTGTATTGAAATCAGAATGTAAAATTTTAAAATTCTCCCATTTACAGTGCATTTGAAAGACCTACCTTATCTGCCATAACATCAGCCAATCCAGACTGTTCGTCACTTCCACAAATTTTTGAGGAAGCATATGTGTCCTTCTCTAACTCCTGGACCTAGTTGTCATCATCACAGCCTTGTATTTCCTTACTTTTGTCTTTCAACAAGTTGTCTTCGCTAATTGCAATTACGGTTGGTTCCTCTGTAGCAAATTCTGAAAAACCACTCATCGATGTGGGAGAAGATCTGGTTGATGAGCTTGACACACATGAAATAGGAGACGATCTTCCATGATCCATGGTTGTCAAAGGAGACAATCTTGCGGAAGGCTCGTATGCTTGTACGCTCTGTTGTGAACCAAATTTTAGTGCTTGGTTTGAAAAGCCTTCCAAGGATGCCACATACTTCTTCAGTTTTCTCAAAGAAACTTTTAAATCTATAAGAAAATTAAAATGCATTAGCCAAAGACTAGGAAACATGAAATCAGAATAACAGTAAAATCATTGCCTTTTTGTGAGTGGCTAATGAATGGTGAGGAAAAGGCAAAATAAATGGCTTGCCCTAGCTTAATGCACCAGGATCATGGATTGTCCGCCGATCACCCGTCTTGTGGCACATTTTGATTAAAAGTTGGACAAATCTTTTTGAACAAGCTTACCATCACTACTTTCGATTTGTTCCCGAAGTCTTTCATTTTCACTTTTTAGGTGTTTGATTGTTGCCAGAAGCGTTCTATTTTCTCTTAAATGTTTGCAATCTTCATCACATACACTGTTGCCATCAAATAATTTAAGACTTTCCTAAATATTAAAATTATAAGCAATGAATACATATGTGTGCTGCCTGTGCACCAATTGGCATCTTTCCTAATTATCAACAAGCAAGAATGTAATGTGTTCTTACTAACTCATGTGTCTATCTACCATCTCAGGTAGTATAAGGAAGCTTTTATATTACTGCTATTTCAATGCTAAAAGCTTAAATAATGTTAACATTTAGCTTTCACATCGTCTTATATACAAGGTGATTTTACTCTTTCTGACAGAGGCTTCCTTTTGACCTGTAACTATACAAACCTTCCTGTATCTTTCCTTTATCATGTTAGCCAGATTGGTTGATCGCTTTGATTGCTCAGCATTTTTAGATGCTGCTTTCTGCCTCTTCGTTGCAGCTGGTTCTTGCTGAAGAAAAACAGGATCAGAAATAAATGTGGGGAATATAAACTATGCACATAACTTGCTCATTACTATTATTTTCGTATATGTGCTCAAAAAACACCTTGTTAGAGAAAATTTGGAATGAAAAAATTATCTCTGTAACTTTAAGACTTTTACCTGTCTTTCTGTGTCACTGTCGCTATCATTTATAACACTGTTTGCATTTCTTACACGCTTGCGGAAACCTTTGCCTGTTTTAACCGGAGAATCATCTTCTCTCATGTATTTGAGTAACCAGTCTTTGTCATCTATTGTTTAATTAAAATATAACAAATATGAACAAAGATTATGGCAGGGATGGACTTGGTGCTGATTTCTGAATATGTCGTATCTAAAAGTGGGAAGTAATATATGCTGTTATATAGACAAATATTAAATTACTTGAGACTTCACACACTCTGCTCTGAATTATTTGGGATCATTTAGATGATTAGGACTTCAATCACCATGATATGAATCATACTTCAAACATGATTATATTTCAAAACAGCCTGATCTGAATCATTTGGGATCATTTATATGATTAGGACTTGAATATATTAACTATAAAACCCATCTTACCCTAAATAAATTATCTTTATTTCAAGACATAAAACGTCAAAGGCGAACAATAATGACTCAAGGAATATATAAACTTAATTTCAAACCTGTATCTTTACAATCTCGGCAGGGAATTTTCTTTTGGTTGCTTTCTTGGATTTTGTATCTTTCCAAAGAACCAACATTTTTGTCCCGTTCTCGATTTCATTTTGTTTATGTTCCTGAGTAAAAACAATATCGGAATATGGAATGACATCCCAAGCATTCTCTTCGAAGAAATTAACCAAAGCGTAAGCCATTAAGTCGTTTAATTGCCGAGGTCTTTAAAACACTGTTGTCGGTAAATTCGAAATGGCCGCCAAGAGAGTTGGCATGTCATACTCAGGTGACATGTGGGCAAATTAAAATGCGAGCATGCCCATATTAGGGAATAATCGGATATTCACGTCTCGTCTCGACGCGATAGTTTCCCAAAATATCCCAAAATATCCCAACTAATCCCAACATATTTCTTTTGGGATTTTCCTCCGATCTGCCGTTTTCCTTGAACTAATTACTGAAACTGTTAAAAGATAAAAGATTCTGAGAGTCTTGAAGATGGTCAAAGGTTAAACACGCTTATGTGTTGAGTACAAAGGTATGTAAATGTTAATGTATGCTAAATATTGGTAATCGAAATCTATATATAGATATATATGTATCGCAAATCACTTTTTCTTGACTACAGATTATGCAAATAAAAAAGTGCAGCTATAGTTTCTCTAGAATAACTATAGTTTTATTAGTAACCATTTGTTGTAAACTATAGGTCTTTAAAAAAACTATAGTTCAAATTTAGTTTCAATTATAACTATAGTTTCCAGCGGCTACTATTTGTTGAAAACTATAGTTTTTTAAAACAACTATAGTTAAAGTATAGTTTGGAACAAAACTATAGTTTCGAAAAACTGTAGTTTCTGTATTTGGAAACTATAGTGTCACGAATAACTATAGTGTTTTCGTCTGAAACTATAGTTGTTCAGAAGAACTAAAGTTTTAAGGCAAAAAACTATAGTTATTTTGTCGAAACTATAGTTAGTTTTTGTAAGGGGATCAAGATCATTAGATCTGGTCGCACAAGAAAGACAGTATAGAACTTAGTGCTTTAGATTTTAACATATATTTCGAACAGTTGCGTTAAAATTAGAATTCAATCAAGTTAACATTTATTGGGACGGTGAACACTGAACGAGGCACAACTTTTATATTCTAATACTTTTTATATTATAATAGGGGGGGGGGTGTTGGATTTTATGCGGAAATAGAATGATTATTATAATGCATGCAAACGTCATGGGTATAAATTATTACTGCATGGGGATCAATAGTAAGTAAGAAAATTGGATAATTAAGGACAGATTGGAAGTGAGGGTTAAACACACAAATTCCCAACACAGCCTCCTACTGCCATGAATGACCGGTCTTGTTAAAAACAAATATTATAGGTAAATAAAAATATCTACAATCCCTCGCGAACATCTTCGTCTTATATATTATAATCTCTTATCTTCGCTTTTACCTGGGAGAGTGTCCATTTCCCAGCTGCCTTGACAGACAGCGCAGCCTTGGAACACTCTGGCTTGAGATGCACGTGACTAGGCTGACCTTTGACCGTGAAACTGTCCGTAGTTGAGAAACTTTCCCGAAGCTGAGACATGCTGACTTCGTCCCCGCGATGGGTTAATCCAGAACTGTCCTCGTCTAGTAGTTTCCAGACATCTTGTAACGACGCGCGGTCGTCTGATGAGAACGAAGGTTGCCATGGCGAGACGATTTCGTCACGAACAGTAGACGATTCCGGTAGGCCTGCTTTTTCTGCGAGTTCCGTGTTTGAAGAGTGTTTTTGAAGTTTTGGGCCGACGCGGAATTTTTTTTGCGAGGAGATAGCGAATGCTGATCATTATTCCTCGCTAGTGTTCTCTGTGCATACTGCATGCAGTTCTTTGCTTGTTAGTTCATATTGCAACTGTTCCAAACCCCGTAGTTGGGATCGGGATGTTTGCGCCACATTCTGCGGATCTTTGGACGATTGACGTGCCTCAATTGAAGGCGATTTTTTCCCTCCTAATATATAACGATAGAATAACATTCTAAAATCAAAACGGTGGCAGCGGTACACTAATCGATTTTACCACGAGATTACTTATTTCAGCATCTCTCATTATACCAAAGCCGCCACGCTGCGGAGAAACAAGAAATTTTCGTGTTCTCAATAATTGTAGTTTTTCTCAACTTCTATTATATAGGTTTAAACTTTTGTTCTTAACAATTTATCAAAAATGGTTTAAAGACGCTCTGCAAAACAATTTTATTTCATATTTCAATCAAAGGACGCATTAAACGAATGTTTAGTCCACCCGTTTTCGGTACATTTTCAAGTACAAGTTTAACTTATATCTTATCAATTAACTTGCATGTTTTCTTTCAACAGTTCCAATTGAAGTTTTTCGCCATATGCTTATAACCGACCGGCGTTTGCCCAGACGTTATTCCGCGGTGTTCTGGAGCCCGGTCACGTGTCACTACCCTACATGCGGTAGTGACGTAATCATCGCGGGATCTCTTTGCACATGCAGTTAGTCTTTTGCGAACAACAGAAGCTACGCATCATGATTATAGGAAAAATGTATTCAATTCATTCTTACAGTAATTTATTTCGACTAACGTATATATATTAATGCCATCTTAATAGATATTCCAAAATATCCCTTCAAATACCTTTATATTTCAACAATTCAGCTCTCAGCTTATTTCCCATTTTAATCAACTGTTTGCGTTCTTTTGTTACTCCATTTTTCCGTTGAGCAGCTTGACGTAGTTTGGTGTGTAATCCTTTAGATGACGATACTACTCCCTTCATACCAGGGACTTCTGAAAAAAAAGGAAAACGTTTAAAATTTAAATCCTGACAAAATCATTCAGAATTTTATGAAGTGAATTTAGGGTTTGTTATGTGTTGATGAGAAATGTTGATGAAAGGTTTTCCAGCCGCAATCAATTTACTGTTTTGGAAAAGGTCGTAACTTACAAATTGTGAACGGGTTTGAATGAAATATAACTCCATAGACAGGCGTCATAGCTATATCACGCTATTTTAGGTGGATCAGAACAGCAAGAGATATGCATTCTATATATGGTTAACAACTGACAGTGGTTGGGTTACATCACAATCTATACGTTTCAATTAATTCAGTAGATTTAGAATGTTCTACGGCAGTCGTGATTGTTAAGATTCTAAACACACAAATAAAGAAGTATTTCAAAAGCGTCAGACAGTACACTCACCTTTCTCTCGAAGGTCTTGTATAAACTGACTTTCTGGATTGTACGTATTCACACTCTAAAAAAAGGTGTGTTCAAATAACACACCTTTTTTGTCCAGAATATAACACAGGTTAAGGTGTGTTTTCTTTACACACGCAGGTGTGTCCCAAAACACACCTTAAGGTGTGTTTCTTGCTTGTCCAGAATTTGACACACCATAAGGTGTGTTTGCAAAAGGTGTGCTTTAGTACACACTAAGGTGTGTTTTGAAACACACTGTGGTGTGTTTTCCTACACAACTTTGGTGTGTTTTCCTACACAACTTTGGTGTGTTCCAAGACACATACTGCTAGGTGGTGCAAGGTGTGTTTTGGAACACACTAAGGTGTGCTACCCAACACACAAGATCAAATTGCCTAGGGCAATTATCTAAATAGAATGAATAGTCAGAACAGTTTGTCCATAAACAGTGAAATATGTATTAAAATAGAAAACATTATCATACAAGAAAACACTTACATATATTCACAACAAATATTTAAAAGTCATATGGAAAATTTGCCTTAATAATAATTTGCCTTAAATATATGGCATGCATATAATATAAGCATGAATGTCCAGGCATGTATAAATTGTTCTAATCAGAATTGTCCTTAATTCCTTGGTGCACCTTTGCCATAAATGAGGAAAATTTTGTTCCTCTGTAGTTGCCATCATTTGTTGGCAAAAGAATGTCTTGTAGGAAAGCAAGCATCCTTCCATACTTTCAGGGTAGGAGACGTGATATGCATAGTAACAACAAAGCAGGTCGATCAAACCTTGGAGTATACCTTCACTCTCAATAAATGACTGGTCTTCACCTGCCACAAAAACTTGGTTGACCTCCTCAGGAGACCCAATCACAACCAAGCGAAACTCGACATTCTTGTCTTTGAACAAGGTTTCTGGTCTCATGGTGGATGCAGGCTGTAAAATAAAATTAAAACAGTTAATTACAATTCCAGCATTGAGAGTAAACCTAAAGATTAAGATCATTGATTTGCCAGCTATCTCCAGAGTGTGCAAGGTGCAATTGACAAATACATACATCTTTGAATTTTAGAACACTTGTTGTTGTTCCTTTGTTCCTTTTTGTCTTTCTCTCAATTTACTCCACAGCCTCCACAACCTGTTCACTTCTCATTTCACATTCCTTATCCTTAATTTGTATGACAGCTTTCAATGCAGTCTCCAACTTCTTTTCAGCCTCTTTTTCCCAATTTTTCTGCCCAATTTTGCAGGTGTTTGAAACAAGTTGCCATTGCTTCAATAGGGTTACCCATTGTTTTAATATTATACCCTAAAAACTACATGTGTATACATGACTGCACAAGACATCATGTGAAGATACTTACAACATTTGGATGACCAAGATATGGACATTCCTCCAAGACCTCTGTAGAAGATGTAGCTTGATTTTCGATAAATTTCCTCCGCTCATTAAATGTGTCGACAAAGAGTTTTGCAAATGTCTTAGGAGCCATTGCACCAGGTTTGCTTTTTTCAAAAGCTCCATATTTCTTTTTTGAGCTTGCTCATCATCCTCTGCAGTCAGTTTTATTTTCTTTGATGCACTTTCATTTGCATGGCCATGGGGTTGTCCATGCATCGCTTTGTTAACTGTCCGCCGCCGAAGGTTTCTGAAGAATTGCGACAATTGTTTCTGGATTGATACCTATATATGTAGACAAAATATGATATTTGGGATTAGGATCATTGCCATGACAAGTATATTTTAAGTACATATACAGAATATTCCCTCTTGTGACACTTACCCAATAGCTTGCTTGATTGAAATCTCTCAACTCAGGGAATTTCTCGCACACTAAAATGGCAATCCTCTTGTAGTCACCTTGCTTTGGGTGGCTGGACAAACCATAATAAAAGGTCCCTACATCTGCAATCAGCTGTGTTCGCTCAGGGGCAACAGAGCCATTTTTTATTGCCATCTGCACTCGCACAGAGAAACTCTCAGGAAATGGGAGAGGGTTTGGTAGGGCTGTGGCATCTGAACTATTAGTAATAGGTTTGGGACTCTTGAGTGGTTTCTTCATTTGAACACCTGCTTTCACACTTTCAACACTGCTTTCACATGCCATGGTTGGCAAAGGTGGTTCCACTGGCAAAGGTGGTTCCACTGGCAAAGGTGGTTCAGTTGGCATTGGTGGTTCTAGCTCTGATGTGTGTGGTTCATCATCATGTGGCATCACAATTTGCTGAGGCATTTTTTCCTATTATTGACAAATAGTAAATACTTTCATGTAAAATATTGAGAAGTAGTCATTATTAGTGATGGGAATACAATTGATTATTTCAATTGCCCAATGTGACAGTGCCTTCTCTTGGCTTATAATTTTCAATTAGTACTGTTATATAAAAGCCTGTTAGGCAAACTAAAGGAATTAACGACAAATTAATATTCTTGTTAAATCAAAGTTTATATTTATATCCTGTTTAAACAAAGTAAACTTACGTTTTCTGTTGTCGCAGATAAAGTAAAGGCCAATTTTTGTTTTAGTTGAATTCGATAGCCAGATTTAGGTAAGACCGCTTTGAATTCGTCGATGTCTTGCATCAAAAAGTTCAATGTACCCCCATCAATAGCATTTTCTGAAACATTATAATCATAAACTGTTAGTAGATCGTATTCATTAAACTGTATAATAAAATAGAAAGCTTAACGCACACATAAAAACTTAAACGCTTTAGCATTTTGGCAATGGTTCAACCACATGAGGCATACCTTTCAGTTGATCGCAAATTTCTCTTGAGATGCCTTTTGATAACAAGTGAGCAATAAGGTCTTCAGTGAACATTGCTACTAAACACACAGCCATACTTGTGATGAAATTATATTTAAAAAACGGAGTAAATGTTGTGAGTAATCTTCTTGGAACGTCGAACGGGCAAGATATCAGTCAAATTTTTACAAGCAGGTCTAAATTTCCCGCATCACACCATAGGGAATTTCTATTGGCAGACTTACGGTCACGTGTTACTTTAAATAACATATATGGTATTCCCAGTGGTAACATTACCGTGAGAGAATAGAATGGCTCCCAGGCCTTTTGCAAATGCTCCAATTTTTCGGCGAATATCGATTGAAAACATACTGGGAAATAAACTAAGTATTAAAAGGCAGTAAGGCACAAGGCGAAATAATGTGTTTTTAGTATATACAAATGGCCGAGTCAACTGAATTTCGCTGCGATTACTGTAATTTTGTATGTTGCAGCGGACAAAGTAAGCTTTTTTTTATCACTTGGTTAGAATACACTCAAACGAGCCGAATTTCAAGATATTTTGTAACAGCTGTCCCAACCTCGTACCCAGGGTCTTTCGTGGGGGAAAGAAAGACCCTGGCAGCGGCTGGTCACGTGCCTCCCAATTTTTGGGAGGTAAATAGTGATTTTACTCTGGGAGGGGTGGCTGAGGAGTGAACTTATCTCGGTATGAAATTTTCATAAACGAATTCACGGCTCTGTTAAAAAAAATGCAACATCCATGTATTTTCTCTGAGGAACAAAAGTCGAAAAACTATATTTCCGATTTGAATTATTCGGCACCTCAGGGGGAATTTGTTATGTCCGATATCGAATTTCAACGCTTCACTCGTGTCACTTTACTCGTGGCTTTCTGTGCGCCGATGGCTAGCAAAGACACACCGAAAAAACACTATAAAAAGGTTTCGGCGTTGACTCAAAATTCGCGCTGCAGACTTTGTAAATCTGTTGTTGATCCTTATCACAGTAAAAATTTATTTCGGAACACTAATCAGAGTGTTTTACGTAATGCTGAGAGTGTATATGGCAGTCCCTTGCCGCAAGAAGATGGCCTTCCACATTTGATATGTCGACTGTGCGAAAGAAGATTAAATAATGCAATACAGTTTAAGAATACCATTCAAGAAACTCAACGATCACTACGGGAGAATTTGCGCTCGAAACGCTGTATTGAAGTTTCCCCTTCTACAGTAAAACCGCCCGCCAAAATACAAACTGTCGGTTCGCGTAAACAAAGTCTGGATTTTAGTACCTCAAAAGATGACGTCCCTGTTACTGTAAGTAAATTTATTTTGTCTTCATAGCGATAATACATTTATGTTCGAATGGTTCGAACAACGTAATGGCATATTCTGCGACATTGAATTTATGAATATGTTAATGCTATCATGAATAATAATGCATGAGCTTTATGCAAATCCAGAATCCTAATGGTTCATGGTTCTATTCATTAGTGCTGCAGTGTGTCTGAAAAAAAAAAGTTGAACCAATTTCAATAGAAATTAGCATCCTATTGTATTAAATTTCAAAGAGTTCATAAAATAAGATCTGGATGTACATATATTTATGTATATGTTGTCAACATAATGAAGATACTGCATATTGTGTAGGGTAAAGATCCAGACCATTTAGAAGATATTTTGAAGGGAGCAAATGAAGAACTTCTTCGAGTTGCCAGAAGAAGTGAACCATCAGTTTTGAGGGAAAGAAGTTGTGATGGAATGTCTGCTGAAGGTAATAATAAATATTATGAATGGTATTTATTAAAATTACTGTATACAGTAAACCTCAGCCATGAATATCAGCCATGGGCTTTATGATACAGATTATTAAGGGGGCTTACATTTGGAAGTTTAGTTTTGTATTTATGTGAATAAATTACAATATATATTATATTAACCTCATTGATTAAGATTGGATGGCAGAGGTTATGAATGAGCTATCAACACGTTGTCCAATTGTAAAGAAGATCCTGTCAAGCCTGCTGCAATACAGCTATAATGTTGGGAAGAAAACACCTGCTATCAGCTTAATTTATGGCATCATAATGTTCTTGAGATGTCACGAGTTAAGCAGGATACAGAGGATAAATTCAGTCCTGCTTACACATGGGCAAGCATCAGTAAATGTAAGTGCAAATGGGAAGCTCATAAAATCATTGTTGCTATTAATCTTGAACTCTTCACTTAGACAAGCAAAATGAACTGATACTCACAACTGAGTGTCTGGTTGACAGCATGTTTCGTTACACACCCTTTAAGGGCCTGTTACACTGTGCCATTTTCCTTGCAACTTGCAATGCAATTC